TGTACCTTGTAGTAGAAACAAGATTCCAACCATGTAGAGGATAAAGCCAAGAGAACAGCTAGCATGATGTGGATTCAGTCATCTCATAAATTTTTTTCTTTGTTCTTACCTGACAGGTGCATTGTGGAATCATAGATTGGTATCCTTTTAATTCCTTTTTTTTTTTCAATTCTAACCATGGCCTTCTGATCTTTATTTCATAAGCCCGCTGTCCTTCCCCATCTAATAAAAACTGTAAAAGCTTTTGGAAACTGAAGGATGTCTTTTGTTTTATCTGAATAACCATAGTTTATGCTAACCCTGAAACCAACAGATTTATTTGCTCTAATAATGGTATCAGAGAACGGAGAGTCCATGATTTAACTTTGATTTGAACAATCTCCACATAACAGCAGAAATAACAACACAAGGTATTGAATGCAATTATCATATGTTTTTCATAACTTCTGGATGTTCTTGCTACCACAATTGGAACATTCAGAACTCAAAAGGTCAGAATAACTGGTCCCCCAGGCATTTTGATAGTGTTATGGTCTCCACATGTGAAATGAACTAAAGAACAAATGAAGCCAGTGCAGCAGAAAAATAATAGAGATAAGAAAAGAAACTTGGTTAGGTACCTGGAAATCATAACTTAAGCAGGACCAGATCGGAAAAAGATAGCACTGAAATTCTTGGGTTCTACATCTTAGATAAAATATGTTAAGCAGTTGAGTTACCCTACAGTCTTGTGGCCGGTTGAGAGATTTCAAGCTGTAAAAGTCCAGTAAAATTTTACTGGGACAATAGAGAGAACAAAATGGAATTACTCACTCAACCATGCCCTATATTATTTTGGAATTCTTAAAGGGGATACCTACTATATGTGCTAAAAAATGACACATTTGCCCTAATATAAGTTTTATCATCTTTATAAATAGACTAGAGTAATGGGGATAAAATTAGAATATAGCATTTAATGTCTCATATAATATAAATAATAAGTGAGCCAACTAAATTAGAACACACAAATTTACTAAGTGGGACAACTAAATTAGAATATGTAGATTTAGTAAATGGGACGACTAAATTGGAACAGAGGGAGTATGACGCATCCTTACATCCTAAATAAAGAATTTTTCTCACACTCTCACTTAATTGAACCAAACATAATTAATTTTTGAAAGGAAAAGAACAAACAATGACCTGGTAATCATAACATGTTTTTTCAATACAAATGGGAGCATGAAAGGTTACAGGGTCTACTTCCTGAGAGATTTTCGTTTTCCATTGCAACTCTGAGCATTTTGTTCTTTAAATTCCAACCAGAAAGAGCAGCAACTGGTGTTCATTTCCAGGTAACAATTAGGGCTCCCAATTTATGTATCAAGTGCAAGAATTTCCAGATGCAAACTGCTTGGCAACTAGCTCTGCCTGATACAGAGATGATGATCCCAGCTTTGTTTCAACTAGTCCAAATTTAGTAAAACAGTTTCTCCAATCATCTATCTTCATGTGCCTGAAAATCCTCTTGCCATCCTCCTCTGCAACAATGTTTTTTATAGCTCGAGAAAAGTGTGTTGCTTCAAAATCAATCCTGTTCTCATCTCTTCGATCCATACTATCTTCAAAGTAATCAAAAAGAGAACAAGAGAAAGACAATGTCTCTGAAAGCCGTTCCATGAGAATGTGTGAACTATGATTTGTCCCACGTCCTGATACCACCAGAACACATGGATTTAAGTTCTTAACAACTCTTATTAGAGCTCCCAAGCTAGCAGGTTGTCCTACTAAATGTCTTAGAACTGACTTAGCATTGATGGCCATGTAAGATCAGTTAAGTAAAACTAATTCAAACCAACATAAAACTCAAGAAAAAACTCTTGAGAAACATGTGAAAGCTGAAGGAAATGACATAAACTGAGCTAGAGATGATGCTCAGATTTTTCTCATTGATTTTTCATAATATTACATAGTTTCTGGTATATTTTTTTTATACAAAACACTAGCAGCACAATTACAATGTTCACTTACAATTAAATAATAATATAAACCCTATAAAGTAAGGGCATGGTGCTGCATACAATTAATGCCAGCCCACATTTTCAGGTGAACACTTAGCATCAAAGATACATAGAGATTACATTGGAAAATCAACAAAGAAACTTCTCAGCAACTTAATTGAACCCGAACTTAATGTGAACAGTATACGTAAACAGTAACTGATTGCACTGTTTCATTGATCTTCAACAGGCTACAACTTCACCATCTTTTATCTCAAACATGTTCTCAGAGGTATCTTTCATGTGTGTCACCATAGCAGTTTTGAATGAGAAGGGTATATTTAAGGACTCGGCAAAAGAGGTTAGCCTTTCACCTGTCTCCTCAATTTTCTTTTCCTCTATTGTCCCTACGGCAGTCACTTTAAGAAGCTCCAATGGAACTTTCCGAATGGAAAGAGCTTGCATTAAGGCTGTTCATTGGCCCTCCTTTCTAATTGCAAGGTCAATGCAATGAACCTTTCTTGCAGAGGCCACATGTTCTACAATTGCTTGAATTCCTGCAAACACACTAACTTGAGCAATTGGGAGCATTTCGTAACATTTTGTTGAAGTGGGTTTCAAACAAAATGGATTCTCATTTGATGGTAACAGCTCTGTTTTTTCGCTTTTCCTTATCTTTGATGTGTTAGCTCCGGTTTCTCGATCAATCTTCTGATGAAGAGCTTTAGTGTAATAGTGTACCATGCTCTGAACTGAACTTCCATTATTTGAACTCGAGAAATCACACATTTCGAGGACTCTGCCTGCCTGATCAAATTGTTTGTTGCTAACCTTCTCGGCAGAAGCCAGCAGAAGAACTACAAGTTCCACGTCTTTGATCTCCTTATCTGAGAGATCAAAGCAATCACCATTGAAGAAACTATTAAGCGTAGAGATATCAACAGTGTCCTGGAAATAAAATCTGCTGACATGTGCTCTCGCAATTTTGATGATATCTAGCGTTGATAATCTTTTAGTTTTTCATCCATAACTCAATTTCCTGCAAAGCATGATTCATTCATCAAATCCGTCCATATCAATGGGAGTGATTAATCTGGAGGGTGAAATAAGAGAGTTATACTCACCAGATTATAGCTGATTATGACGGTAGGTATCCCATTCTCTATCCTTGCAATTTCTGATTTCTTGGTGATGAAATACAATAATTTAATTCAAGCCAAGCAGATAGCAAATGCAACAATGTAGAAAACTTTAAATATGATGGTAACCCTTTTGTTTCCCTTTGTCTCACTTGGTGATGAAATGCAACAATGTAGAAAACTTTAAATATG